GGGGAGAAGGTTACACTTAAAGACAAAAATGAGTGGGTGATGTGTGGTTAATTACCAGATTAGTGCCAAAGAAGCTGGAATAATTTTCACAGAGCACTAGGCTCCTAGGTGATGTTGATACTACTGGTTGGTAAGTGCCAGGCATCAGTATTTTAAAAAGATTTCTAGGTGATTATAATATAAATTGGTTTCTGAACCATTGCCCTGATATTTAGCTTGATCATGATTTAGGCAAATAGTGCTTAAAAAGGTCCAGCCAAAGGTGAACGGTGTTGGTAATTTTTTTGTGACAGGATTGGTAAAACCACCTGAATTCCCACCAGTAGTGCTGGAACACAAAGACCTTCTGGAAGTGATGGATCAGTTAAGACGTTTGCCTTCAGGACTTGACTCTGTATTACAGAAAACTGTACCATGGGGAGTAGCATTTCACCATGCAGGTATTCCCTATTTATAGTCTGTTATTAAGAATCCCTCTCCAAAAATCTTCATACTGGCTTCATTTTTATATTTGTGCACAATTTATTTCTTGTTAACCATACTTAATATTCTTAGATTTCATTTTAAGTAATTGTGTGATTAAGATTAAACAAGAGTACAACAAACATGTTTAAGTTTACTTACCTGTATACAGTAGTCCCCCCTCATTCTCAGGGGATATGTTGCAGGACCCCCAGTGGATGCCTGAAATCACAGTTAATACTGAATCCTATATATGCTCTACATTTTTTCCTATACAATCATGTTGTATAAGGTAGGTAGTGTATATAGTGTGGGTATACTGGACAAAAGGATGATTTATGTCCTGCACAGTATTGTGTGCAATTTAAAACATATGAATTATTTCTAGAATTTTCCATTTAGTATTTTTGGATAGCAGTTGACTGTGGGTAACTGAAACCATGGAAAATTAAACCACAGATAAGGATAAGAGGGAACTACTGTGTACACCCACACAGAAATATTTACATCATATATAACTTATGATGCATATTAAAAAGAAAAGCTGTGTATGTACCAATTTATTTCAATTTAATTTACAGACTAGAGCCCCAATCCTTTTGATTTGTAAATAAAAAATAAGTCAGGTAAGTATATGTTCTATATGCTGTTTTTCATTTACTCATGTATTTATTCATCAAACATTTGTGTATGTCAAAAATATGCTGACCCCTGTGATGGATAGACACTGAAAGTGCTGTGACGAATGAAGCATGTATCTACTCTCAAGGAGGTCATTGTCCGGGACAGGGGTCAGCAAACTATGGTCTGCTGGTCAAATCTAGCCTACCAGCTGTTTTTATAAATAAAGTTTTATTGGAACACAGTCATGCCCATTTGTTCTGTGGCTGCCTTCATGTAACAGTGGCAAGGTTGAGGAGTTACAATAGAGACTATCTGTTGTTCCACAGGAACAGGAAAAGTTTGCCAACCCTTGGTCTAGAAGATGAGATAGAAGATACTAGAGGTAGCAGATTATACTTTTAAATAGATAGACCTCGATAATTTGTTTACAGTCATAAGAATAGTTAAAAAAATCTTTAGAGGCTTGTAACAGACTCTCAAATCCATTTGTAAGTGATCAAATATGATATTTCCATTATATATTAATAAGTATATGTCATAGGAACCTCCTCTCTTTTTAGGCCTTACTTTTGAAGAGAGGGATATCATTGAAGGAGCCTTCCGTCAAGGTCTCATTCGGGCCTTGGCAGCAACTTCTACTCTTTCTTCTGGGGTGAACTTACCTGCACGTCGTGTGATTATTCGAACCCCAATATTTGGTGGCCGACCTCTAGATATTCTTACTTATAAGCAGATGATTGGTCGTGCTGGCAGGAAAGGAGTAGACACAGTAGGTAAGTATGTTTGAAGTTAATTGTAATAGCATTGCTGAAAGACAGTGTCAGTCTACTTGAAATTTGACTAGTGCCTGGCAACTGGTTTTTCATCATGCTGTATTTCTTTATTATGCAATGCACTAATGTCATCCTTTTGAATTCACTTAATATTTATGGAGAGTATAAATTATTATTTTTATATATTGTCAAGGGTTGATTATCTACAAATATAGAATTAAGATTTTCTTTTGTATTGTGTACAATGTTATGATTTAATATTCTGTAAATCAAGATTATTTCTTTACATTAGCTGGAAGATGAATTTTAATTCCCAAGTATAGTCTACTCTTTGTGCTAATTAATTTTCATGGATTAGTTCAGCTTGGGTAACTGGTCTCAGGGATCAAATAGGGATGCTGAGAGCTGGGAAGTACTCTCACACTTTGGCAGTAGGAACTTCACATACCATCTTTTTCTCTCAAAATTGGTGCTAGCTCTGAAAACACCTTTTTATTTTCTTACCTTCTACCAGCAAGTTATGGTAATATTACTAGCAATCCAAACAAAAGTTTTATCTTAAGCAATGAGGAAGAGGCTTGTTTGAATTAACTGTCAAAACAGTAGCAAAAGTTATTTCTAATGTGCTATACTGGGTGTAACTTAATAAATTGTTATCAGCCTTCTAATATCAAAGAAGCCTGGAAGAAACATTCTTGGTAACTTCATCTTTCTATTCTAGGACATAATTAACTCCAATATTGTATTAGATATTTAAAAAAAACAGGCAAACAGTTCTATGGCTATCCAAGAGAACTGAGGAAATCCGGGAGAAAAGGGAAAGTGTTAATGGAAAAATAGGTGGGATATTTTGTGCACAAAAAGCTGGACAGTATACTGAGCAAGTGACTTTTAGAACAACCTACTTTGTCATACGAAGTCCCCAAATACAGTTGATCCTCGTCATGTACAGATTTCATATTTGCAAGTTTGCCCACTTGATGGAATTTACTGAGAACCCCCAAAATCAATACCCTGGGGCTTTCGCGGACATGTGCAGATCTGCAAAAAGTTTGAGTCTTTCCAAGTGCGCTTTCTCTGCTGAAGGCAATGCTTTGCCTTCTTGTTTCGGCTCTTGTAATGTAAAAAGCTTCCTTTTCATGGTCTACTTAATGCCACATTTTTCACAATTTTGCACTGTTTCTTGGTGATTTTGCTGTTTAAGATGATTCCCGAGCATTAGTGCTGAAATGCTATCTAATGTTCCTTAGTGCATTAAGTCTGTGATGTGTCTTATGGAGAAAATATGTGATAAGATAAGCTTTATTCAGGCATGATTATAGTGCTGTTGGCTATGAGCTCAATGTTAGCAAATCAATGATATATATTAAATAAAGTGTCTTTAAGCAGAAATACATGTAAAACACGGTTTTGTATTGATTGATGAAAATGTTGTTACTAGAGGCTTACAGGAACCTAATCATCTATTTTTCCCAGCAGCAATGGTTCCATATTCACTAGTATTCAGTGTTTGTGGCAACTTTATGGAATGTAACTACCACAAATAATAAGAATTGACTGTAATTTTTTGGTGAGTTAGAATATAAGTTCACTGCTAGAACAAAAGCCAGCAAATAGGTGTTCAAAGAAGGCAGAAGTTAATTTCTTTCTCATATGACAGTAAAATTGTGAATAATCTTGGTGTGATATGGTGGCTGCAGTGTGTCAGGGACCTAGTTTTCTATTTCGTTCTTCCTTGTTTAGCAATATAGTTTCTGCCCTGTAGTAGCTAATACAGTCTCTGTCATCATATCTGCATTTCAGCCAATAGGAAGGGGAGATGGAGATGTAAAGGGCATGCCCTGCCCTTTAAGGCCACCACCCAGAAGTTGCCCGTAGTGTTTCTCCTCACGTACAATTGGCCAGAACTTGGTCAGATGGTTGCATTCCCTGACTGCAAGGGTGGCTAGGAAATACGATCTTTAGCTGAGTGATTATTTGCTCAACTAACACTTAAGGGTTTTATTGAAGGAAAAATGAGAGAATTTCGGGGACACCTGTCAGTCCCAGCCTCAGTAACAAATGACCATTTACAATCCCTGAAGGGCCATTGGTCTGCCTTTCTTTTAAGTCCTAAAAATTTTGAAGATTAAAAAAATAACTTCCAATTTGTTGGATTTTTTCCTGCCATAGGCATCAGAGAAGTTTATCCTGTTTCTCTCTTACTTTACCTACAAAATATGCAAATTACATGGATGTGTTTAAAAAGAGTGAGGGGAAGAGACTAAGACACTCCCTTCCCATTCCTATTTATCTCCCCTGCCCTTCCCCAAACTCTGATTTCTCATTAGACTCATAACTCTGGAGAATAGAAGTTCATTTTACACAGATACTCTTCTCTCAGGGCCATAGGGTCTTTACATTAATGTAGAAGATAAAGAGATCTTATTTGCCTTGCTATATTAGCATGTATTTATCATAGGGAAGAAAAATTAGAAGGTTGGTGCCTTGGACTACTTATCAAGTCTTAAATCAGATAACATTCAAACAGAACCAAAATATACTATAATAACTTCATTTCTGAGGTTTTGAAGACTTCTGAGCTTTTGGCCTTGCATACTGTTACATTTTCAGGGTGGCATATGACTTACTCAGAACTTCAAGCTATTGGGGAATCTGGGAATATAGTGTTTTATATCCACTATGGAGATTTAAATACTTGCTCATGCTTTTTGTATTATGTAGCATCTTTGTAACTTCTATGCATTTTATAAATGATATCAATATTTCCTGGAAAGCACATGGTGTTTTATTAGATGACATTTTAGTCTTTCTATAGATTATCTAGAACCTTCTAGTGTAGGATGATGGTGCTTTGTGCCAAAATAGTGATTTACAAGTTCAACAGTCAGTAGTAAATGATTTGATTCTAAATGACTTCAATTTCCCTCTTGTGGTATGGATGAGACCTCCCCAGACAGGTGGGAGCAGGAACCTGTACATACATACTAATATTCATTTGGCTGTTTTCATGAATCTTGCCCATCCTGAAAATTGTTAGTCCATTTTGTTGAAGAATCAAAGTCTGGTAGACCTTTAAGCAACCCAAAGTGGCTTGTTTTGCTGCTGATATAGTTGATCCATTTTCTACGTAATTTTTTTTTTAAGCTGGACTGTTTTATAGCCATTGCAAAAGCCAGGTGATATATTTTATTCATGTGGTTTTAAAAATTGGATATTGACAAATTATAATTGTATATATTTATGGAGTACAAAGTGATGCTATACATATACAATGTGGAATGATTGAATTAAGCTAATTAACATATCTATCACCTCAAATACTTATTTATTCTTCCTGTCTAACTGAAACATTGTACTCCTTGACCAGTATCTCCACATTCCCCCCACCCCCTAGCCTCTGATAACCACCATTCTACTCTCTGCTTCTATATATCTGATTTTTTTGAGATTCCACATGAGTGAGAAAATGCGATATTTGTCTTTCTATGCCTAGCTTATTTCACATAGCATAATGTCCTCCAGATTCATCTATGTTGATATAATTCTCCTCTTTTTAAGGATGCACAGGATTCCATCATGTATATATACCACATTTTTTTTATCCATTCATCCATTGATATACATATATGTTGATTTCATAACTTGGTTATTGTGAATAATGCTGTGATAAACATGGGAGATATCTCTTTGACATACTGATTTTAAATTCTTTGAGTATATACTCAGTAGTGAGATTGCTGGATCATATAGTAACTCTGTTTTTAGTTTTTTGAGGAACCTCTATGCTGTTTTCCATAATGGTTGTATTAATTTATGTTCCCACCAACAGTATACAAAGGTTCCTTTTTCTCCACATCCTTGCCAACAATTGTTATCTTCTGTCTCTTTGATAATAGCCATTCTGTCAGGTGTAAGGTGATATATCATTGTGGTGTTAATTTGCATTTCCCTAATATTTAGAGATGTAGGGCATTTTTCATGCATTTGTTGGCCATTTGAATGCCTTCTTTTGAGAAATTTTTATTAGCTCTCTTGGTGGTGTCTCATAATTCTAGTAGACTTTATTCTTTTTTATTCTTTCTTAACTTTTTTCTTCTCTGAGTGAATAATTTCAAATGTTCTGTTGTTGAACTCACTGATTCTTCTGCTTGATTGAGCCTGCTCTCAAAGCTTTCTATTGCATTTTTCAGTTCATTCATTGTATTCTTTTTTTATTTCTTTTTTCTATTGTGGGTTTGCTTCTAGATCATTGTATTCTTTTTTTTTTTTTGAGACAGAGTCTCACTCTTTTGCCTGGGCTAGAGTGAGTGCCGTGGCATCAGCCTAGCTCACAGCAACCTCAAACTCCTGGGCTCAAGGGATCCTCCTG